GGGGCGCCCGCTTGCAGCGATCGGCGCCCTGGGGTGTTCGGGTGCAGTGTCTGGGCGCCGTTGGCTTGGCTGCCAGGGCCCCCGGCCAATGCTGAACGCAAATGGGTTTGATCCCCCCTCTGTTTCACCAGACTCCAGGGCGCCATGGCGACGGACACCTGTGAGGTGTGGGAGACAGAGCTGGAGGACCCGGAGGCCATGGAAGAACTGCCGCTGTTTGCAGAGCACGTCCCGGGGCTGTCGCTGGAGGACTTAGGACAAGGTACCTCTCCCTCCGGAGGGGCAGGACATTCCCAGCACATGCTACTCCGGCCTCCAGGGAGTTAAACCGCAGTGGGCCTGTGCCGAGCTCATTGGACAGGGTCCCTGAGATGCCTTGCGGGGGATTAGTTGCTTAAGAGCCTGCTCTGGGCAGTGAGAACGGCTTATAGAAAATGACGGGCCCTTAGACCTTGTGAGGCACTTTAGCACCGGCCCCCAGAGGGGTGGGAAAGCCACGCCTGGATTCGCTGGATTCCTCGCCGGAAGGGGAAAACAGGAGATTTTTAAACCCAGCGTCGCTGCGTTCTGTAGCATTGCACCTGACTTAAAAAGAGCCAGCAGAGGGTTCGAAATGTTCTCCTCTCTGCTTGTACTAGAAATGCAGGGCCACTCGCCCTTTCGCCTGCAACTGTAAATTTAAAACCAATAGAGCAAGATAGCGCCATTGGCTTGAGAGGGGAATTCTTTGTTATTCAGCCTGCTGAAAATAGTTTGGGTTGTACAGGTTCACTCAAATCTGGACAAACACTGGGGAGAAACTAGGTAGGGACAGCAAGTGGTTCCAATCTACATCTCAGGTCCTCTTTTAGGCTATGGACGGCCTCCTGGTTTCCGGAAGGCCTGATTTAACATCCCTGATATTTCTAATGCAAAACTCACGTCACACGTTGTAATTATTAAGAAAGCAATCAGGCTTTCTTTACACGTCAAAAAGAAAAAAGGGACAAATGAAATTGCTCTAGGTAGGGACAGCAAGTGGTTCCAATCTACATCTCAGGTCCTCTTTTAGGCTATGGACGGCCTCCTGGTTTCCGGAAGGCCTGATTTAACATCCCTGATATTTCTAATGCAAAACTCACGTCACACGTTGTAATTATTAAGAAAGCAATCAGGCTTTCTTTACACGTCAAAAAGAAAAAAGGGACAAATGAAATTGCTCTGCTCTTGTAACTTACACCTTTTCAGTTACATGTCAGGATTCTCTATTTCCTGACTGTTGATTGGCCCGTGGCCAGCACTACGAGCTGGGAGCAAGGAATCTTACTGGTCCTGAAAGTCCGAAGTAGCACAAAAGTTAACATTTTTTGATGGAACCCGTTACACAAACTGCAATTAAAGTTAAAAACTGAGCGCCCCAGCTTCCAAGAGGGGTCCGAGCTCAGCTCTGAGGGATGGGCTGGATCCCCAGACTGGCTCTCCCTTAGCTCCCTGTTTCAGGAATGACACACTAGCATCCGGCCTGCACCATTCTAGCCTTACGGGCCCCCCGCGCAGAGACGGTAGCGCCGGGGGAGTTCGGGGAATTCTTGGGCGTCTCGGGATCCGTGAGGTCAGATTGGGAGGCCCTTCACCGTTGCCAGTCTGTTGGAAACACAACAGGGTGGTCCTGCACCCCCCACTGCCCTGCTGCAGCCGAGGCTGCTGTGTCGAGGGTGTGACCTGGTTTGGGTGCATCCCTGGAGCAGACAAAGAAGCCAGCCAGTGCCTAGCCAGCAGCTTTTACAGGGAACATCACGTTTTCTCGCTCCTCTGTCCTTTGCCTGGGAGGGCCAGGGAGCTCGTCCCGTCACTTTCAGGAGCCCGGGGGACTTGCCAGCTCCGGGTTCCAGGGAATTTTCAATGTGGCACCTGGAGAACGGCTTTTAACTCCCGCTTGCCACGTCTGATCAGACGTGTGACCATGGGCCTCGCGGAGGGATCTCGGAGTTGAGAAAAGCATCCAAACCTCTTCCCTGCTCCAAGCACTGCCCCCGATTCACTGTGCGACTGGCCTGCACGTGGGGTCCTGCGTGAATTCCTGACTTGCAGGCAGCCTGACAACAGCTTTCAAGTACATAAAAGGCTGTTGCAGAAAGAAGAAAAATTGTTCCCCTTGGCCTCTGAGGACAAGCAGCAATAGGCTTAAACTGCAGCAAGAGAGGTTTACGTTGGATGCTGGGAAAAACTTCCCGCCTGTCAGGCTGGTCAAACACTGGACTAAATTGCCAGGGAGGTTGTGGAATCTCCATCCCTGGAGATATTTCAGGGCAGACTGGCCACCTGTCAGGATAATACTTAGTCCTTAGGGCACTGGACTAGATGAGCTCTGGAGATCCCTTCCAGCCGTACAAGTCCATGATCTATGTAGAGTCTAGGGTTATGGGGTCCGCAGGCACAGCTCCTTGCTAAAGGAGAATGTGTTGATGATGATGGTGCAGCAATAGTAAGGCTTTTATCTTCTCTGCTGGCCAGCACTAGGCAGCACGATGAACACATGCTGCGAGCCCCAGCTGCTGTCCACGTGTCTAGTTTACACCCTAATGCATGTTTCATTGTGCTTGGACGTGTCTCTACCAGATGCCGAAGTGCCACAACGCGAAGAGGAGGCAGACAGAGCCCCGGTGAGTAGCTGCTCTTCATTGATCCGGTTTGTAACCATCTGTCCTCCGCACTCACGGGCGCCGCGCTGAGGCCCGAACTATGCGACACCGGCCCTTGCGGCCCACAGCAGCAGAGGCCTGCTCCTTGGCTCTTGAGGGGCAGAGGGGGCTGCCTCCCGCCCCTTTCCCGAGCTTTGCCGGCCTGCTTGGGGCAGAGAGCTGAGATGAGCTTGGCCAGGAGGGGCTGTTCCTGGTGGGCAGGGAGACCCGTGGCCCATTCAGTCCTGGCTCCAGCCTGCCACGTGGGGGGTCGCAAGGTGTCTCTTGGGCCATGGGCAACCTGGCAGCCTTGAGTCAGAAGCCACCTGAGGTTCTCACCAAGCGGGGCGGGGCCCCGGCAGAAAAGGCTCCGTAGCTCATGGGCCGGGGCTCCGGGCCGCGCTCAGAACCTCTGCCACACCGGCTCCTGCAGGAGCCTGAACTTGGTATCTAGGCACCCAGCTCCCTTTGATTTCAGTGGGAGTTGGGAACCTAAATACCTGAGGACTTGGGCCAAAGAGCCCCTGAAGTCCGCAGATGGGGAGGCACCAAGGAGACTGTTGCTTGTTGCCAGGGTTCCCCGTAAGCCGGGCGCTTGTGCGGCCGCTCAGGAGAGATTCCATTGCCGCCCAGCTGATTAGCACAGCGCCCACAGACAGGTTTTTTTGTTCCTACTGGTGGTGCACATCTGCACATGGCTCAGTGCACATAACAAAATTTATTCCACACATGGCTGGCAAAAAGCTGCACATGGATGGAAAAGATTAGCGGGAACATCGGCCGTACATGTCGGCATTAGACAAAGCTCAGCTTAAACAGGGAGGAAGAGACAACAGTGTGGAAACCTGCCCCCATATACTCATAGGGCTCAGGGGCTGTGCGCTGTTAGGCAGTGGGAGGGAACCCTCCTGCCCCAGCCCTGACCCCCCAAAGCCGGAGCCCCCTCTGAAAGCCCAAATCTCCATCCTCAGCCCCACCCCGGAGCTCGCACTCCAGTCACATTACGCTGGGGCGCGGCATCAAGAATTTTCTTCAACTGGGTCACGAGACAAAAGTTTGCAAGCGGCTGCTCCCTCCTATCGGAACAGGTGTGTGCACGTCTGGTTCCCCCAGCCCCCTCTGGCCTTGTTCCCTTCATTGGCCGCACTCACCGCCCTCCTGGGCCCTTTCGGCTGGCAGCAGCTCTTCCCTGCGGGGCGGGGGGAGGAGAAGGGAGCACCTGCCTGGGAGGTGCAGGGCGGTCCATTGAGAGCCCCACAGATTGGGCAAGGCCACCAGGTGTGGGAGCGCAAGGGAAAGCAGGCAAGAGTCCCCAGCTGGGCTTGGCACCCGAGCGTCTTCCAGGAGGGTGTGCAAAGGACCAGGACCAGCAGCGCAGGCAGACACACAGCCGCGGTCTACCCCAGTCCCATCTCTGTGCCTCTTCCCTGCCACGGGCCACATCTGTCTAGAAGTCCAAGCCGGCAGCGCACACAGAGACAACGGGCAAATGGACGATGGGGCGGCCTCATCTCCAAAGAGGGAGCTTGGCATTGGGAAAAGTTCAGAAAACAAAACTGTGTCGGGGTTTGGAACGGCTGCCATATGAGGAGAGATTAATAAGACAGGGACTTTTCAGCTTAGAAAAGAAGAGGCTAAGGGGGTGGGATATGATAGAGGTCTGGAGAAAGTAGATAAGGAAAACTTATTTGCTCCTGTAACACAAGAACTAGGAGCCACCCAAATGAAATGAATAGGCAGCAGGTTTAAAACGAACAAAAGGAAGAATTACTTCACACAGTGCACAATCAACCTGTGGAACTCCTTGCCAGAGGACGTTATGAAGGCCAGGGCTTTAACAGGGTTTAAAAAAGAGCTAGATACATTTGTGGAGGTTCAGTCTGTCAATGGCTACTAGCCAGGCTGGGCAGGGATGGGGTCCCTGGCCTCTGTTTGTCAGAGTCTGGGAATGGGTGAGAGGGGAGGGATCTGTTGATGATTCCCTGCTCTGTTCCCTCCCTCTGGGGCACCTCGGATTGGCCGCTGTCGGCCGACAGGACACCGGGCCGGATGGAGCTTTGCTCTGGCCCAGCCTGGCCGCTCTGGTGAACGATGCCGGCTACTGACCCTGCAGCGCATTAGTATGACCCGTGCCACCGAGCCCGTTGTGCTAATTACCCGTCTCCGCCCCAGTGATCTCTTACCCGCTGCAGGCTGCTGCTGAGGGGACACACCAGGGTAAAAGTCTCCATCGCTGTGAGGACCAGAACGGGTCAGGGCCTTGGTCTGACGTCTTCCCTGGAAGGCAGCAGCCCCCGGCTCCATGGCGCATGGGAAAGGAGAGCGCTAGTGCCCCAGGCACGTGCCGCAGGAGCTGGGCGTCTCAGAGGGCTCCTGGCCCAGACTTGATCCAGCCCCGCCCGGTGTCACTTTCCAGAGCCTGCTGTGACGGCAGGGCGTGGTACAGCAGTGCTACCCTGGCCGTGTGTAGCTTAGCTCAGCTCTCTAGCTTCCTCTGATTTCTAGTCCCCCGCCACTGTCACGTCCTGGCTGAATCATCCTAACGTATTTGCCACATCAGCAGTGAGTTCCGTAGGTCAAGAAATACGGGTTCCACAATAGAGAATCGTTACCCATATTTGTGTCATCGTGTGATGGCCAAGCCTGGGCAGTCGCCTTCCCGACACTGCCCGGCCACCGGGGAGGGCTGGGGCCCTGGGGCCCCCGACCCTCCGACTGGCTGGGAAGGATCAGACTTGAGGGCTGGGGAAGGAAGGTTGCAGAAGGGGCGTGATCCCAGGGAATGGGGTGGAGCTTTGGGGTGGGGGTTGGGCGCGCCTTCCCCAGCTGGGCCCTCACATGCTGCTCGTGAGGCCGAGGTGCCAGGAACGGAACCAGGGCCCTCCAGAGAATAAGCCCAAGCTGGTGAGGAAAACACCATCCCAGCTACGGCTCTGTCTGTCCTGTGTCCGCTGGGTACAGAAGGGGCCTGGGGGTTACAGTGGGTGAGAAGCTGGACATGAGTCAACAGGGCGCCTTGTAGCCAAGAAGGCGAATGGCAGATTAGGGGGCATTAGGAGGGGCGTTGCCAGCAGACCCAGAGAAGTGATTATTCCCCTTTATGTGGCTCTAGTGAGGCCACATCTGGAGTAGTGTGTCCAGTTGTGGGCCCCCCATTATACAAAGGATGTGGATGCATTGGAGAGGGTCCAGCGGAGGGCAACCAAAATGTTGAGGGCGGGGGCTGGAGCACATGACCTACGAGGGGAGGCTGAGGGATTTGGGCTTGTTCAGTCTGCAGAAGAGAAGAGTGAGGGGGGATTTGAGAGCAGCCTGCAGCTCCCTGAAGGGGGTTCCCAAGAGGCTGGAGAGAGGCTGGTCGCAGGGTATGTCTACACTACCACCCTAGTTCGAACTAGGGTGGTAATGTAGGCAACCGGAGTTGCAAATGAAGCCCAGGATTTGAGGGGCAGGTGGCAGAACAAGGAGCAATGGGCTCAGGTTGCAGTGGGGGAGGTCAGGTTGGATATTAGGAAAAACTATTTCCCTAGGCAGGTGGGAAGCGCTGGGCTGGGTTCCCTAGGGAGGGGGTGGAATCTCCGTCCCTAGAGGGGTTTAAGTCCCAGCTTGACCAAGCCCTGGCTGGGATGGTTGAGTTGGGGTTGATCCTGCTTTGGGCGGGGGGCTGGACTTGATGCCTCCTGAGGTCTCTGCCCGCCCGGGGGTTCTAGGGTACCGTGACCACACCTGCTCCAGGGGGTCAGACAGATTCCCTGAGCTGCTTTGCCTCTTTCCTGCTGGTGCTGAGCAGTCACCTTCCCCCCCCCCCTTGCAGGAGATGGAGCCGGAGGAGAGGGGCACACTGCACGTCATCGAGCAGGATCTAGAGGAGTTTGTGGAAAGCATGACTGACACCCCCGGCGCCATGGAAACGCACATGCCCAGGGTAGAAGAGGAGGAGGAAACCAGCGCTGATGTGCCAGAAGGTACCGGTGGGCGCGCACCCCTCTGCCAGGTCGCCTGTCAGCCCGGGAGCCCTGAGCCAGAGAGCGGAATTCTCTTCTCCAGCATCCCCCCCCCAATTCCACCAGGCGCCGCCAGGCTCTGCCACCTCTGAACACAGGATGCTTTGGCCCAGAACGACATGACGTATCTTATTGCCCTTATATAAATCCATGGGACGCCCACATCTGGAATACCGCGTACAGATGTGGGCTCCTCATCTCAAAAAAGATATACTGGCATTAGAAACGGTTCAGAGAAGGGCAACTAAAATGATTAGGGGTTTGGAACGGGTCCCATATGAGGAGAGATTAAAGAGACGGGGACTTTTCAGCTTGGAAAAGAGGAGACCAAGGGGGCATAGGATCGAGGTCTATAAAATCATGAGTGGTGCGGAGAAAGTGAAGAAGGAAAAGTTATTTACTTGTTCCCATAATATAAGAACTAGGGGCCACCAAATGAAACCAATGGGCAGCAGGTTTAAAACAAAGGAAGTTCTTCTTCACACAGCACATAGTCAATCTGTGGAACTCCTTGCCTCAGGAGGTTGTGAAGGCTAGGACTAGAACAGGGTTTAAAAGAGAACTAGATAAATTCATGGAGGTTAAGTCCATCAATGGCTCTTAGCCAGTCTGGGTAGGGAACGGTGTCCTTTAGCTTCTGTTTGTCAGAGGGTGGAGATGGATGGCAGGAGAGAGATCGCTTGATCATTACCTGTTCAGTTCACTCCCTCTGGGGCCCCTGGCATTGGCCACTGTCGGCAGGCAGGATACTGGGCTGGATGGACCTTTGGTCTGACCCAGTGTGGCCGTTCTTATGCCCCTGTTGAGGCCCTGGCCGGGCGCGGGAACCCCCCATATTCCCCTTTCCCCTTGCCCTACGGCCAGTCCCTACTAGCTGAGCGATAACTGGACAGACCAAAGTCCCTTGGGACTGGACTATTGTGTCACCTGTGAGGCCTTGTCGTGTGCTTAGCCCTGCATGCCGGGCCAGTCCTCCTGCTCCCCACCTAACGCCTCTTTCTCTTGGCCTCAGAAGCTCCCCAGAGCCTGCCGGTGACAAGGAAGGTCGAGTCCCGCGCCGCCGGGAAGGAAGCAGCCCTCTGGGCGGGGCTCTCACTCAACAAATGCATCCTCCTCGCCTCCGTTGTGGCTCTGCTGAGCCTGGGCTTCCAGGCGCTCCGAGGTGAGAGAGCTCAGAGCCGCCAGGCCGGGAGCTGGGCCGCAGCAGGGGCCACTTTGGGAGCAGCCTGGCCCGGGGGCTGGGCCTGGAGACGGAGCCCCTCTCTCCCCTCCACACGTTCCTGGGAAGGGGCGGGGAGGACAGCTCTGCTGCTGACCATGTGGCGCGTTAGTATTCGCGGTGCCACCTCGACCGGTGAGGGGCTCGTGCGCGGCCCCCTTCATCCCAGGGGCCGCAGGGTTCTCGGAACCAAGACGCCCTGGCTCCACGCGCGGGTCAATTTAGTAACACGGGTGGGGGAAAAATCCACGCGGGCGGAAACCAGCAGGCAGCAGCAAACAGAGCATCTCACGGGCCACACGCAGACTGCGAGCTGCTGACCTAGAGCCCGTTGGGCTAATTACACAGCAGGAGCCATCTCTGCCCCAGAGAGCTTACAGTCACCATGGGAAAGCCTGGTGGCAGGGGAAACTGAGGCAGAGAGGGTGAAGAGATTTGCCCCCGCTCAGCGAGCAGGGCTGGAGTGGAGCTGGGTCTCTGGACTCCTACCCCGGCCCCCTGGGACTCTGAGCATGTCTGAACGCCAGACGCAAACTCTTGCTGCCCGCAAAACCTGTTGGGCAGCGGCCGTACGGGTTCCTCCTGCGAGCACAGGATGAGCAGACAAGCCAGGCACAGCAGGAGCAGTTTTAGGCTGTGTTTTGTCATCTCCTGGGGCTTAGTTTTCCTCCACCGCCTTCTCTGAGCCTGGGAGTTAATTAAATGAATGGAGATTGCCTATCTCCTAGAACTGGAAGGGACCTTGAAAGGTCGAGTCCAGTCCCTGCCTTCACAGCAGGACCAAGTACCATCCCTGACAAATTTTTGCCCCAAATAGCCTCCGCAAGGATTGAACTCACAACCCGGGGTTTAGCGGGGCCAATGCTCAAACCACTCAGCTATCCCTCCCCATTAAGGGTTAAACTGCAAACTGGAATGGGGAGTCCGCCCCCGAACCGACTCTGCGCACAGGATCTAACCCGCCACAGGGGCTGGGCTGGCATGTCCAGGCCCCTCGTTAGCAGCACCTCGCTCCACGGGGAGCCTGGGCACCACCTGTCCTACTCAGGCCTGGCAGTACGAGGGGCCCAGCCTGGGCATCTGAAAACGGTGCCTGTCCTGGAGGGGAACCCCCCCAGCCGTAAGGCAAAGGATGACGCCGGTTACCTGCCCAGGGGCCGAGGCGCCTCTAAGGAAAATGAATCCAAGCTCAGCAAAGGTGGGAACTGACCGTAGCTCAGTGAAAGCACGTTCAGTCCGCGCAGGGGGCCCTTACTGGGATCCGGCTCACTCGGGAAGTGAACGAAGCAAAACCCAGCCAAGGCCGTTTGTTTCTGAGTAAGAGCATCCACACAGTCGTTTTCCGGGGCTTAACGAATCCGGATTGAAAATTAGGTCAGGGAGCCTGCTGGGGGGGGGGACACAAAAAGCCTGAGATACCGCACGTGGCACCTGGATATTAGATCTAGAAACATGGGGCCACCCCCCACCCCC